CCCCCTCAGGATTTCTTGTAGGGCTGGCTTAGTGGTGACAAATTCTTTCAATTTTTGTTTATTTGGAAAGACTTTTATCTCTTTCTATTCTGAATGACAGGCTTGCTGGATAGAGGATTCTTGGCTGCATATTTTTTTGTTCATCATATTGAAGATCTCCTGCCATTCCTTTCTGGCCTGCCAAGTTTCAGTAGATAGGTCTGTCACCACTCTGATAGGTTTCCCTTTGTATGTTAGGGCCCTTTTCTCCCTAGCTGCTTTCAAAATTCTCTCTTTATCCTTATATTTAGCCAGTTTCACTATGATATGTTGTGCAGAAGGTCAATTCAAAGTATGTCTAAGGGGAGTTCTCTGTGCCTCTTATATTTCAACGTTTACTTCCTTCCCCAGGTTGGGGAAGTTCTCAGCTGTAATTTGTTCCAGGACTCCTTCAGCACCTTTCCCTCTCTCTTCTTCCTCTGGGATTCCTATGATATGGCTATTGTTGTGTTTGACTGTATCACTGAGCTCTTGAACTCTTCTTTCATGTTCCTGGATCAGTTTGTCTCTTTTTTTGTCAGCTTCTTCTTTTTCTATAATAGTGTCTTCTAAATCACTTATTTTCTTTTCTGCCTCTTCAATCCATGCATTGGACACCTCCAGTTTATTATGTATTTCATTTCTCTCATTTTTAAATTCATCATGCCTCTTTTTGTTCTCCATGTTGCTTGTAGCCTTAGTTTCTTTAAGGTCCTGTATGCTTTTTTCCAAGCCCAGCGTTTAATTTTACAATTATTGTTCTAAAATCTTGTTCAGTTATGCTCCTTATATCTGTTTTGAGCAGTTCATTAGCTGTCAATTCTTCTTGGAGTTTCTTTGGAGGAGAGCTCTTTCATTTCATCATTTTGGTTAGCTTTCTGTCTCTTGTTAGTTTTAAAGACTTGTTATGTACTTTACACCTGTGAGCACTGCTGTACCCAAGAAGACTCTGACTGTCCAGGGCCTATCCTTTCAGAAAGTGTTCTTTGAATGGTATCTCTTGGTTTCTCTTGTTGAGACCTTGGTATTTTATTTTCCTACTCGTAGTGGTATTTGGGACTCTCCACCATGTGTACTTTGGCTTGTTTCTTGAGGTAGCCCTGGAGAAGAAAACATACAGACAAACACACAGGGAACAGAGGGACACAAACGTACAAACAAATCCAACAATCATGCTAACCAAGAGGGAAAACTAAAAAGTAGTGAGAAAAGACAGAGGAGGGAAGGCAAATGATAGAAAATAAAAATACATTAAAAAGTCAAAAAGAAGAAAAGAAAAGGAAGAATGAAGAAAACTGATAGACAAAGATCGGTTTAAAGCATATAACCAGAATTCCCAGTTACAATTAAATAGCTGGGTGTATGCAGTGCTTGTTGAAGAGCTAGAGAAAGAGAGAGATGATAGGGCAGAGATGAGGCAAAATTGGAGATAGAATTAAGAGGCAGAAGGGATAAGAAGCGTTTTTCAAAGAGCTAAAGGGTGGAATATGGTTGGAGAGGTGAGAGAAAGAAGGTGGTGTTATCTAGAGAAACTAACTGGTCGTATTACTCCTGAGAGTCTTTGTTATACCGCCATTAACAGTTCCGCTGGTCGCTGCTTCCCTGTTGCAGGGGGTTGAGTGGAGGGTGGGGGAAGTGCCACAGCCTCAGATCTGCCGGGGTTAAGCAGCAATACAACCCGAGTGCGTCTGGGGATCGTAGCAACTTCAGAGTCCACGTCGCCTCACCCCGCTTACCGGCCGCCGAGGCTTCAGCAGGCAACTTTTGCTCATGCAGCCGACATTTCACTGGGCGCCGGCGCCACTTCACCGGGTCGCTGCCACTGCCGCTTTAGTGGGCCAATGTCGCGTGCACCACTGCCGCTTCACCCGGCGCCGGGACCACCTCCACAGGCATTGCTCCTGGTTCACCGGGCCGCCATTGCCATGGAAGGTGCCAGGCGCACGGCAGTTCAGTTTTTCCTGGCGCCTTCTGGGACCAGGGCACCTAGTTTAAAGTCAGCACCCCAACCAGAGCTAAAAAACACTGTCTTTCCAAGCCGAGGATTTTTCTCTTCTTCCTAAAAGAAAAAAAAATTTTAATGTTTATTTTTGAGAGAGATAGAGACCAAATTTGAGTGGGAGGGGGAGGGGCAGAGAGAGAGAATGGGAGACACAGAATTAGAAGAGGGCTCTAGGTTCTGAGCTGTCAGCACAGAGCCCAATGCAGGACTCGAACTCAGGGACCACGAGATCATGACCTGAGCCAAAGTTGGATACCCAACTGATGGAGCTGCCCAGGCACCCTGATTTTTACTTTAAAGATGAGTGAATGGAGGAGGAGAGTTTTCAAAGGACCTTCTACTGGCAAGTGGTACAGTCAGATTTGTGCTCAGGTCTGCCTGATGGTGGCACTTGTGTGCTTAACCCCTGTACCACACTGCCCCGAGCAGAGGGGCAGAGAGTCCAGACAAGAAGGACTGGGACTCGCTATGCACTGTAGACAGGGAATGCGGTGTAGCACGTGTAGCTCCAGGATAGTGGAAGCAGCCCAGTAGGAACAAAGGGACTCCATCTACAAGCTGTCACTGTCTGCGTTTCAGCCACTCTAGGAGGGAAAGGTCTTGTGACCATGGTCACCAGAAGTGAGGAATCTACCTATGATTGTGGCAGAAGCAGTGAACATGTTGATATCTGGGTCAGGAACAACCTGTGGGCCACCCAGGGCCCCTGTTGGAGACCAAAGAGCTTACCACCCTTGAAAGCCCTTGGCTGAGTTTTATCGACTAGGAAGCTCTTGTCTACTATTACTAATACCAATCACAGCATGTTACTTTTTAGCATTTATCCTGAAGGTTTCACCTGGAGCAGGCATCCTGCATTCTCATCATATAATACTTCTATCACTTTCCAGGGACGTAGCTGCACTCTGGTGGTAGCTCCATGTCCTCAGATCAGATGACCAGGCTTCACTACCCTGGGCCTCGTTGTGTCTCCTGGCAGCTCTGTCCTGTTGATCATTGCCCCTCTAGCCTGACCCACCCACTCCATTCCAGGGAATAGCAGAGAGTACAGGGAATTGGGAGCACTCCAAAGGCAGGCAGCAGGATGCATGAAGCTGGTGGGCATCAGAGCAATTTGGAAAAGGTCTTGATCTGGCCTTTTCTCACCCTTTGTGCTCATCCAGTTGGCTGAAGTGGAAGACCAGAAATAGCAGAAGCAGTGAACATAGGTGGGTTGGTTCTGCTGAAGTGTTTTCAGGACCCTTCCCCACATTTCCTGCACTTTGTATCATGAGGGGTGTCATCAGGACCAAATGAAATCATGCACATGGTACTTTTAGAGTTGTGGATGACTGTATTATTTATAAACATTCAAGGTGGAAGAATTGTTCATGCCTACCCTGTTGATACAGGCTTGGTCATGTGATTTGCTTTGGTCAATTACCTGTGTGCAGAAGTGATGTATGTCATTTCTGGGCAGAGGCTTTACGAACCAGCATGTGGTTTGCCTCCCCTCCTCTGACTGTCGGGATGCAGCCTCTGTTGACTAGGGTTGCCTGTGATTCCAAGAGTGGGCAAAGATCATTGCTGACCCAGGATGGATATGCACAAGAGTGAGAAATAAACATGGTTTTAAACCTCTGGGAGTACTCAATTCAGCCTCACATACACCGATATTGGAACAATACAGAGATTAGTGTGCCCCCTGCACAAGGATGACACACAAATTCATGAAGCATTCCATATTTTTAAAAATCACACAATAAAAAATTGCTGAGAGTTTTCAGGTTGTTTGATACTGCAGAATAGCCTATGCTTGCCCGACAGATACACAGCTAAATGCTGGAAGTCTCAGGATGTTTCTGTAAATTAACACTCAGTTGTGAAATGTAAATGCTGCTATTAATAATCAAGACTGAAACACTGAGAAAAAAGCTGAGGAAAAAAATCCTTGGTTTCAGTTTGAACAGAAGAGAAAGACTCCTTTTTACTCATTGTTATATTTTGTATTTTTCTTCGTATCTAGTGCTTTGGTCTTTAGCTGGAGTTCAGTTTTTAACTGATATGTATACATCCTAGTGTGCAGAAAATACCATATGTACAGTGTATTTCTTTACCTTCAGTGCACAAATTTGGCTTTATTCCAGTGTTAGGAGATATGATAAAACTGATTTTTGCCTTAAAACGCATTTTATACATTTGTACTCCACTATCTTTTTATGTGACATTGTGCAGCTTGTTGAAAAATATCATCTATGAAATAGAATAGCTTCTTTGAAGGGAACTTAATAATGTCATCACTGTTTATATGACAAAAATTATATAACTAAAAAATTAAGAAATTGTCTTTTTTTAAGTTTTTTTTTTTTTTAATTAAAGCTGCCTGACTACCAGACATTTATTTTTAAGGGAAAATAGAAATAGCACTTTAAAAATATTAATTGCCATTGTGGCACCTGTGTGGCTCAGTCAGTTGGGCACTCAACTCTTTTTATTTTTTCTCAAGTTAGTTAACACTCAGTGTAGTGTTGGCTTCAGGAATAGATTCTAGTGATTCATCACTTACAACACTCAGTGTTCATCCCAACAAATGCCCTCCTCAACCCATCACCCATTTTTCCCACCTCCCCAAACTCCCAGTCTCTCATTCCCATCAATTCTCAGCCTGTTCTCCGTATTTAAGAGTCTTTTCTTGGTCACCTGACTCTTGAATTCAGCTCAGGTCGTGATCCCAGGGTCATGGGATTAAGCCCTGCATTGAGCTGCACACTGTAAACGCAGAGACCGCTTGGGATTCTCTCTCTCCCTCTCTCTCTGCCCCTCTCCGGCTCATGCATGTGTGCATGTGTGCTCTACCCCTCTCTCTCTCTCTCAAAATAGACAAACTTAAAAGAATATTACTGCCATTGAAATTTATTTCATGAAATAAATAATAAACTATTTTTTAATAAATTTTTACTACAGGAGAAGTATATGATATTTTAAAAAAATTAAAGTATGTGACTTGACCAGGGAAAACTGGAACAAATGACTTTACAAGGTTGCTTCATAAATATGTATGTATAGTCTTCCCTATGTGTGTATGTATTGTATATAAACATATGTGTGTATTTGCAGAGAAAGACTTATTCTTTAAAATTTTTGTTTTTAGGATGTTTACTGTATTCTTGCAGAGTATACAAGAACAGTATCAAGAAACATGCAGTTCTTGGGGCACCTGGGTGGCTCAGTCGGTTAAGCATCCAACTTTGGCTCAGGTCATGATCTCACAGTTTGTGGGTTTGAGCCCCGCATCGTGTTCTGTGCTGACAGCTCAGAGCCCAGAGCTTGCTTTGGATTCTGTGTCTCCCTCTTTGCCCTTCCCCTGCTCATGCTCTTTCTCTCTCTCCCTCAGAAATAAACATTAAAAATTTTTAAAAAAAGAAACATGCAGTTTTCTAAGGTACACATTTTTTGTAGACAATTCTTACAGTTTAAAGGAAAGTCATTAACAGATTAATTTGATATGTTTGATTTGAAATTTAAGGTAATCTCCTATAAATGTTTACTGGGATGGAAATAAGCAGCAATTGAAAAATATGTGGGTCTTCTCACACCAGTCAGAGTGGCTAAAATGAGCAAATCAGAGAACTCTAGATGCTGGCAAGGATGTGGAGAAACGGGCACCCTCCTACACTGCTGGTGGGAATGTAAACTGGTACAGCCCCTCTGGAAAACAGTGTGGAGTTTCCTCAGGAAACTAACAATAGAACTCCCCTATGACCCAGAAATAGCACTGCTAGGAATTTACCCAAGGGATACAGAAATGCTGATGCATAGGAGCACATGTACCCCAGTGTTCATAGCAGCACTCTCCACAATAGCTAAAATATGGAAAGAGCCTAAGTGTCCATCAACTGACGAATAGATCAAGAAGATGTGGTTTATCTATACCATGGAATACTACATGGCAATGAGAAAGAATGAAATCTGGCCATGTGTAGCAACATGGATGGACCTTGAGGGTGTTATGCTGAGCGAAATAAGTCAGGCAGAGAAGGACAAATATCCTATGTTTGCACGTATAGGAGGATTAGGAGGAACTTAACTGAGGAACAAGGAGGAGAAGAAGGGGGAAATGGTGGGGGAAAGGGAGAGAGGCAAACCATGAGAGACTCTTGAATGCTGACAAAAACTGAGGACTGATGGATGTGGGGGGGAGGGAGGGATGTGCATGGAGGAGGGCACTTGTGGGGATGAGTACTGGGTGTTATGTGGAAACTAATTTGACAATAAACTATTTGTAAAAAAAAAAAAAAAAAGAAAAGAAAGAAAGATATGTGGGTCTTGAAGACATACAGACCTGGATCTGAATCCTGATATTATCACTTATTACTTATATGTATTTGGGCAAGAACATATATCCCTTTCACCCTTAGTTTTTTCATATACAAATGGACATATTAGTGCAGTCCTCTATGCCATAGATTAAGACATAAGACATAAGACAATTCTGTCTTGTCTCTTTTTGTTTTAATCCGATGCTTAAAACAGTGCCCAATACCACATATTCAAAAAATATTTGTTGAGTGAATGAATAGCATAGGTCAAAATACTAAAATAGATATATAAACTCTGAGTTTGCATCAGTTTCTGGATTTCTTATTCTCTCTACTGCTCTGTCTATTCCTAGAACACCATCAAATCAGGCAGCATAATCATCCATCAGAAACCAGTAGTGGGGCACCTAGGTGGCTCCGTTGGTTCAGTGTCTGACTTGATTTCGGCCCAGGTCATGATCTCATGGTTTGTGAGTTTGAGCCCTATATTGGGCTCTTTGCTGGCAGCATGGATCCTGCTTGGGATTCTCTCTCTTCCTCTCTCTCTGCCCCTCCCCTGCTTGCACACTCTCTCAAAATAAATTTACATTTAAATAAATTTAAAAAGGAAACCAGTAGCATATTTTTGTGTGCATGCACGCACATGTGCATTTGTGCTCTTTAGAATACTGTTCATTTTAAGATTTCATGATCCAAATGCATCCATTGAGGCAAATACATCATCATGCTTTTAATTTACATATGATTCATGTATTTAGAACAACTGATATAAGACAAGCCATATGTTTTCTTACCTATGATTAAGTGTATGAATTAAGCTAGACTATAAGACAAAAGGTGGAAACATTTTTTAAAATCAAGGATAGTAATCACCAACCAGTGGAGAGCCATGTATCTTAAAATCAGCTTAGTTGATTTTTAAATTTCATTTATTTTTGGTTTTGTTATAGTAATATTCTGATACCTCATTTATGCTCATGTCTTCTTCTTATAGCCCAGACATTTATATGAGGGATAAAGGCTCAGAGAAAGAGAAGAAAAGGAAGTTTGAGATATTTTGGCTAGTAGGAAGTTTGTAATCTAAAAGGGGAGACCAGCCACAAAAAAATGTATTGTCCAATCAGTGTTCCAAAAAGGCACTATACAAAGTTTGAAAATGTATAGCACAGACAATGGGAGCATGAGAGTAGAGAGCAAGGAACATAATGTGTCTAAGTGCACCAGATTCGGAAGTCACTGTGGGGAGAATCAAGGTGAAAGGGCATTTTTAGCAGTGGCTTCACCTATCAATCTTGAGGTAAGGGCTATTGATTCTACAATGGCAAACTCACATCACAATCTTAATAGCATCTTAGAAACAGGAAAACCACTATGTATCTTTGCAAAAGACTAACCATACCATGATATGTAATACCAATTCCAAATGACAGACAAGTGAAAGTGAGCCATTGATGTTCTGGGTGAGTGTGAATTCTGTGTTCTTACTTATAGGGAACAGTGTTGTTTTAGCTTGGGAGTCTGCTCCCCAAAGTGTTGGTTCTTTCCCCTTCTAGTAAGGATCAGAAACTCCTTTCAGTGAGGTTCTGCTTTTGCTACTGTGGGTCATGCACCCCAAATTATCTTGCAGAGACTGGAGGCCTGAAGCCAGCTGCAGGTTTAATGAAGGCACGACAGAAGCAGTGTGGCATGTGTGCAGGGCACTTGGCTTATTTCATCCTGGTGTTGCCTTTAATTAGCCCTGCAACTTGGGACCAGTCCCGGAACCTGTTTACGAGCATGTTTGGATGTATTAACCATGTTTCTAGTTTCTGTAAATTTGATGCTTTAGTATCTATTTGGCCTACATGCATGTGCTGGACATGTCTTGCCCTGGGCAACCCAATAATATGCCCCAGTCACCTTGCCTGAGCCTCCTGCCTCCCTCATTCCCTCCCCAGCCTCCTTAGGAGGAGTCCTCTCTCTAGGGACATGTTTTTCCAATACAGACCAACCAAAGCGGAGTCCCCACTCCAACCATCCCCTTTATCAGGCTCTTATACTCTGCTCCATTAACCCTTGCCTTCATGAGTCCAGGGCCAAATACCAACAATGAGGGACAGCTCCTGTGGCCCACAGCCCAATGAAATTGTTCAGGTAATCTTACGCCCATCTTCTGCCCCACCAGTTCCTTCCCATGGAAGCCACGATAGAGACATGTGTACAGATGTGTAAGAATGCGAGGTAGGGTTGATTAATACCGATTGTTACAATTCTAAGTCCAAGTTGGCTTGAGTTAGAGAAGGCAACAGGTTTTGTGATGTCATTTTGTGTGAGGACGCAGATAGCTGTGAATAGCCAAACATAGTGTAAGGGTTTGGATGGTTTTGTTCTGTAAGTGGGTAGGAGCAGATTAATAGATAAACTCCAGCTACAACTATGGTGCTTGTGTGAA